AGGAGCGGAGCGGAGACAAAGCGTTCACGGATGGATTACAGGCTACGCCTTGGTTACTCTAGCATGACAACTATTTTGTACAGGCAACCCCACGCTATGCTTGTGAACTATGTTCCTGTATGGTATTCCTTACAGTTGAAGTGTTGATTTGTCCTCAGTTGTTTTTGTGGTAGCCAAGAAATATCTATATACCTATTATAAAACCTCAAATGTGGTAGCCAGATATACTTATATACCTATTATAAAATCTCAAATAATAGGGAGAATATCCCATACTGAATTAGGTTATTATTGATGTATTACGATGAAGGGTGGTTTAACACCCTAATACCGGTACCGTATACAAATACAGAATAATACAGAGGAAAAAGTTGTGTCGATAAATGGCATGTCTTGACAATGTCTGAATAGTTTATACCTATTTTTGTACACTATAAAAGAACTTTAACAAATATTTAAAGGTTTGTTTAATCAAAGTCTATGCAGGATAATATACGCATTATGTTGCTATAGGTCAATGTACCTAAAATAAAAGGTTAATCCAATTCAATTGAAAGCTAAACTATCTTTGTGTCTTTATCTGTTTCAGTGTTTTAACACCTATGTGGGACAGCCCACTAATCCCAGCCCACATTGGGATATATTGGAAACATCTAAGAACTGAGCTGTCAACAATCACCTACTTGAGTGTTCAACTATTGCAAACACACATTGACAGGGTATTCCAACTTCCAAATTGTCCATTTAGTCCAAAAATTACACTTTTTTGACCAGCGAGACATAGCACGGTTAATACAAACACTGGCAGCATGACCTCTGACCCCATTGACGACCACCAAAACACAAGAAGATGGGATTAGTTTTAGAACTCTACCAAGCAGCCAAAACTACACTAAAAGACAGTTTTTTAACTTAATAGAAATAGAAATAACTCTCCAGCTGGAAAATGCCAGCGTTTATCCACACATACCAAGAAAAAGGCTGTTTTCAGTTGGTTTGGCTGCACTCAATCAAAGGCGTCTCAGACTGGGCCTTCTGCGCCTTCGGGAATGGTGACCTTTACCTTATGGGGCATCCCCCAAGCTTTTTTGACATAACGAAGAAACGTTCTCGTCATAATCAGAAAAGTACATGACGTATTCCTGTATTTGTCCACCAGCCTGGCACTGTTACCCTAGATTGTTTTACCTGAGACATAATACCTTAAACAAAGCCCATTCACCCCAACGGCCGCAGGTCACAGCCCGTTCACTAGGCGTTGTGCAACTCACAATGAAACCTCAGAGATCCTTTACATGTCATACAATAGCAATGCGGTGCCAGGTTCTTATAACAACAAGGACGTCGCTCTGTCCAAAGTCATTCCTGCCTCGCGAAGGAGGACGAAGACTTTCTTTCCTTGCAGTAAAGAGAGGCATCATAGAACACGTTTTCAGCTAGAGGTAGTTTCTGTGGACAATGTTGAGTGTTAAGACATTACTGATATTAGGAATAGTTTTATTAATCTGCGCGGATCTTACAAAGTGTTGGAGGCGTCGGCGGTGCACCTGGCACTGGAACGCCTGGGGAGCCTGTGACGCGCCCTGCGGGAACGCAGGCATTCAGACCCGCACGGCTAGCGGCTGTGGGGCGCCGGGACCACAAACTCAGCCCTGCAACCGGTTCTGTAACAACGGTGGGACACCCCTTTCGTACTCGTGTTCGTGTCCAAACGGATTCTGGGGCCCTTGCTGTGAAAATGGTGAGTTATGGTATAAGTGACTACTGTAATACTTTTCCACCCTGTCATTTGACACGTCATCGCAAATACGGGCTTAATCGGCCTAAAATTTGGTAGAATTATTTCAGAATTTCGATGAAGATCTGAATGTTTTCTGAAACTTGACTCCTTAACTAATCATTCGTTTTCATGTTTAGCTCGTCAACCAGAATCTTGCGGATTCATCCACTGTCCGAACAACCGTATCGAGATAACGTTACCAGGCTACGAAAACTATGTTGAAGTTGACTTTAGAAACTACATTCTGGCCGTTGATGCTGGGTTAAATGAGACCACGCCGGTGATGGACGCCGCATCTGGTGCCACGTACCCGATCACAACCTACCACGTCAGTCCAGACAAACTCCCGTCATCAGAGGGACATTACCTCTTCCCCCCAGCACGGTTTACGTCAACGGCATGTACCGACACGTGTGAATTCAGCGTGATTGTCAAAGGTACAGATTGCTATCTTCTGCTAATGACGATAATGAAGTATCTACCCTACGTTGGAAAACTTTATCATCACGGAGAAACTTGCACCTGCTATAATCAATGTACAAGGCAGTTAACAATGAACTCCCGGAATATATAAATAGCTTTCAGATGGCTTCCGAATCTCACAGATACCCATCGGACACAGTCAGAACCTATCCTTGAAACTGCCGTTAGTGCGCCTTGAATGTGGCAAGCGAAAATTCTCCTATAGAGGCCCTATCCTCTGGAACAGGTTGCCACATGATATAAAGATCTGCCCGTCCATGTCCAGTTTTAAAATGAGGTGTAAAAATTGGCCTGACCTCTGACCCCCCCCCCATACAAACAATTTGGACTCGACAATGACTGGACTGGACAATTTGTACTTTTTGTTATTATCATTATTTATTGATGTTATTGGTTATTTACTGTTTTTTCTTTATTATTATTGTCATTATCATTATCTATTGTATCCCTATTCTACTGTTTGTATATGACTTGCGTTTTGTTAGTAAAACAGGGCCCCATTGAAAAGAACTGCAATCGCTTAATGGGCCAACCTGTATAAAGATGACGGAAAATAAAATAAATAAATTAATGTTAATCTGATCAAATTGACAAATATTTGAATAATGCAAACCTTGTTTGACAAACTTTATGAACAAACTGATTTGATACATTAGACAACT